ATATTTCGAGGAAAATTGAAGTCTAGCAGCGTGTTCATTCTTGCTATGTATATATTTTTATATTTAAATATATATGTAAAACATACTTTCATGTTTTTAACCGAATTTAAATTGTGAAACTTACTTGAAAATCCCAAAAACAAGGTTAAATTATTTGCCTATTGATTGCTTGCCTCCAACTCTGCCTTATACCCACTTCTTGGTCAAACTCGATCACCAAGAAAGAAGTTTGTTGTTCACAATCCAAGAACCCAATTAGAGATATAATTTTCCCAAAAATCAAACCTCCACCGGCATCCTATTTTTTTCACCTTGAAAGAACCCGAATTTTGAATATCTTGTGTAGTTTTTCTTGTTGTTGGTTGAGTGGATGCATATTGAGAAGTTATGGATTAATTTTCAAGTTTGATTTTCAACTCCTCCAATAATCATTTCCATACAAACCAGGACGGGTCGAGTCGGATCAACGCACATGGACGGCCCATTTTCTTCCAACAATATATCAATTCGATTCCCCCAAATTTCATTCGGATGGCAAGGAATCAAGCTAATTTCACGTCAAAATTTTCATAAAACAATTAAATAATGCTTAATCAAACCACTTCGACATTATCTTGAAGAACATTACCAATTAATAGATCGTCCAAAAATAGTCCCTATACAAAGATCAAAATTTACTAAATACTTCATATGAAAATCAAAAATTAATTCTAACCACATATTTCCTAAAATCAACAATTTTTTAACCACATATTTCAAAGTCTTTTATTAAAATTCACTGAAAAACCTGATTCTAATCTACACCAAACAAGGGCTAATTATTAAACTTTAAAATCCCAAATTTTACATTAGTTTCTTATATAGTTGAAATAAAATAAAAATTATTATAGTAATGTAAAATGTTTACTCTAATAGATAGCTAAAGATAATTGGAAATTCTCATTATATAACATAATAAACTATTTCCAAAAAAAAATTGTTTTGGAATCAGTTACGACATTTTTAAATTCTTAACAAATGAAAAAATGCCAGCAATTTTAAGGACTTCTCGACAGATTACACCTTCATGTTTGGAGGAAATTCTTCAAATAATAATATTTAAAAAAAATGAGAGTTTTGAATAATACTTTTTGAGAATATGTAATTA